GAGCGGCTATTGCAATTTTGAAGTGATAAATGGTGGAAAAGCATTTATTTAGCCAAAGCACATGGTGGTGTGCAGATTCACAGATTCATTCTCTATTAGCTTGATCAGAGAGACACAAAATGGCCCCCTCATGATAGATGACTTTGGTAATATAAAGGTACAGGAAACAAAAAAGCTTTTCATAAGCCATTAGTTTATAACTCAGTGTCTGGAATATGATCTTGCATGCTGAGAAGAACGTGGTGTTTAAAGCAATGTTCAGACTGCGACCCTGCTTTACCCGTGGTCAAACACACATGATGAATTTTGATATATTTAGCTGAGCATTAATTATGAATCACCTGCCTTGTTCGCTATGCATTAGTTGAGGGAAACCAACTAAGACTTACTGTACAGTGAGTGCCTACAGCACATGAACACTGTGTGTGTGTGTGTGTGTGTGTGTGTGTGTGTGTGTGTGTGCGTTGCATGATGTGTTTGTATGCAGGCATGTGGGAGGCACACAATGAATTTACTCACATTGTCTGTGACAAACAATAAACCGGGATCTTTGTCTGTGTGGGAGGAATCTGGAGTCCTTATTATATATTGTTTCCCTTGCGTCTTAGCTCAAAATCCCCTTATTTTATGCTTGATGTGTTTCGTTTTGATCGATTATGCGTAGCTTTTCAACTGCAGTAATGCTATTCATAGGTTCTGACATGTAGCCGTCACAGCTGAAACTAGACCAAAAGTCTCCCAAGATTCAGGATATTTAGGATTAATCAAATAGCATGACCGGTCTTTCATGAATGCACAAGTACACATACACACAGAGTATACATAAATACATAAAATCCCACAAATTCTAACAGATTTCTGGGCAATGCAGCCTGACCACATTAGTCACACCACAGGCATTCATAAACGGTGAGCCGGACAGCGTAGTAGGTGGCATGACATTATTCCAGCTCATTAACATCAGCCTGGAATATGGTAACACGAAAAATCCTAGTTTAATGCTCGTTAATAATCTATTTTTACCCAGATTATACTGCTCTGAATCGGGGTCAGTGAATGCTCATTGGCATCCATCACAAATCCATACAAAATAAAAGCGGCTGATGAATATAAAGGTCTGGCGAGAAGGAGAACCACAAAGATCGACCCCAGATGAAACTAAATTTCTACCGTGTGTTGACTTATGCAAGCAATGTTAACACAGATCTGCAATAGACCACATCTGCAATGTCAACAGGTGAGAAGAACAAAATCAACATTTCTTCACATACAGTATTAATGTATGGATTGATATTCAATTTATGAACTTTTCATTTCATGGACTCCACCTTAAAGAAAAATGTATAAAATGAATAATATGATAATGTCATGATAATATGAAAATACTATGTAATTATATTTAAAGAAAAAAAACATCTTGTGAGAAACAATTCAAAGAGGTTCATCTAAGCTAACTGACTGCTTACAATAAAGCACACAACTGCATGGCAAAGTGACCCTCCCAGCAATTACCCAGTAAGTTATTCACATGTTGTGTTTTCATTTTAAAGTGGCAACCCACCTAAAATATCCCCTGTAAAGATCATCAATAACATACTGATCAATGATAAACGAGCCAGTTATTCTGTCAAATATATTTTTGGCTCTTTCTGAGAGTACAAATAACTTTGGGTTAATGTTTAAGAAAAAAGTATAGTATTCGTTAAGAACAAATAATATGTCTGATACTTGACCCAAACAAGTTATGAAATGGCTCATAGAGTACGGTGTTATTCAACCAAGGACTGCATTTAATATTTACAGTGAAGGCCAGGTCACTATTAAATGAATCACTTCACACTGTAACGGCTCGTTAATTGGCTTTTGAAGAGGCTTTCTAATGAATAATAGCAGCACCCTTTAATCCGCCGTTCTGGTAAGCTGAATAATGCGTCATTAGTTTTAGGTCACCGGTTGTTAAGCCTCATGAAGGGCTCTGGAGAAAAAAAGCTCAAGTGCACTTTCGCTTCTGTTCATATGTAGATATGTATATATATGTAGATGATTTACCTTTGAAAGTCATAATCGCACACCTGTTGAGTTCTTGGTTGACTTTAAAGAGACAGCAAGGTTTACTTTTGCATCTGACACTACATTACGTTAGGTTAGGGACTATTGCTGGGTAATAAGCCCTTCTCTCAGTTATTGTCAGGACTAAAGCAGCTTGACATCAAGACGCCGGCTTGCACAAGAATGATTTTTACAAAGGCACAAGAAGTACCTTGCCCATACAGTAGATTGGGATGTTTCTTAATGTCTATTAATCGTTGGTAAGCATGGTAAAGAATAGAAAAATGGACACTAGCTTTTTTTAACCCTCCAGCTGCATGCTAGCCCTATATCTCCATAAATATACATACAGTTCCTCAAAAAAAATAAACAAAGCCCTAGCAAAAGCATATGAAAAATACAAGACTGAAATAAGTAATAAATAGTTATTACTCAGAGCAAGGGGCCTTGCTCCTCAAAACATCTTGCTGACGAACATCACTAAACAGAGAAGTGTTATATCATGTCTATTTCTTTATTGAAAACAATCATTTATCAGAAATGACACTCATTAGTATGATTTAACAAAACAATCTATCAGTTGAAGATGTGACTTTCTATTGTTTTTCTGATGCATTGTGACTTGAATGGGATGATCAGACAAGACACAAGTGGCGAGAAACAAGACCAAGTCAAAAGTGCACAATTTAAAAACGAGAAAGATATATTTTGATAATAATTTACCCAAGAAAGGGAGGACATGATCAGCAAATAGATAAGATAAATAAATTAGATAAATAAACTCGAAAATTTCCTGCAGAATATGCATGCAGATTAATTTGAAAAAACTGCTGAAAATACAGAAATGGGAGAAGCTGAAGATAAATTCAATAGATTTGCTGAAAATGCAGAAATGGGAAAGGCTGAAATGAATTTCAAAAAGATACGAGATGAATATTAAAACATTTCTGTTATACAATTTTTTAAATAATTGTTGAAAATACAGAAATGGGAGAAGCTGAAATGAATTTCAATAGATTTGCTGTAAACACAGAAGTTGCGGGAGCTGAAATAAATTTAATAAAAGCTGTTGAAAATACAGAAAAGGTAGAAACTGAAATGAATTTCAAACACAGAAATAACAAATGCTGAGAATTGTTAAAAATATATTTTTGTAGTAACTATACTACTGTGTCCCTATCAAAAGGTCAGGTGAGTCTGAACAAAGCTGTGCGAACTTGCTGGTTTCTCTGCCATGAGATACGTCTGCGTATGAGAGTGAATGGCGTTTCATTTAACCGCGGAAATGTGCCGTTCTTCTGCGGTGACCGATGGTTTCCATCAGCAGACGAAGGAGAAAACAGGGTGAAAGTCAATATGGGATACTCACTCTCCTAAGTTAATGAGTAGGTCCAACCTGTTCCACGGGTTACAGAGGTAGCTTCCTTTGTAGCCATAGAGCCCCATGGGGAACATTCTGCCTAACATCTCTGCCACGAAGGAATCCGAAACCTGAAGATGCATTGTAAAAGAAATAAAAAATACCATTTTGCCTAACATCTCTGCCACGAAAAATGTTACGACAAAGAAATCCAAAACCTGAGGATGCATAATAAAAGAAGTAAAAAATATATGTTAAACAAAGTTAAAACAACAATGCTAATGCTAACTCAACTGGCTAGAGTGCTGTTGTAGCAAAATGTAAAATGTAGCAAACCGTCCTGGAGCCGGATGACTGTTTCTAGCTAACGCGAGTTAGCTAACGCAAGTTAGCTAACGCGAGTCAGCACTCCAGCTTGGTAGCTACCGGTAGCCAACGTTACATTTACTGAAACCGGACTAAAATCACTAGCATAATCCTTGTATAACATCTGAGTTGTATTAACAAGTAATTAACCAGTTAGTGCTTTGTTTTCTAAACACAATCAATTATCACAAATGAATTAGCATGTCCAGTATCTAACGTTGCATGCCAATAGTTCTTACCTGAGAGCAAAAAGTTTAAATCAGAAATCCATTGTCGACTTGTAAATTCAACTTGTTTCCACTTAGTCCAGTTGAAGTCCGTTCAGAATAAACTCAAAAGTTGTTTCAGTCCAAAAGAGAGCTAACATTTTCAATATTAAACCATATTAAACCACATTAACAAGCTCGTCGGGCCTAACAACACCCCCGAACTTTTACATTATTGGGTGATAAAGTACAGCCTCACGTACCTTTTTGCTTTTATAATACGGTTACCAGCGAAATTATAAATAGTAAGTAAATAGCTACCTTTCAGCACAAAATAGTAGTAGCCACCCAACGTTCTGTATCGCATTTCAGTAGTCTAGAGAAAAAATAGTCCCCATACCTTTATGAACAGCATTGGGTCCCGCATCATCTCATTCATTCACATCGCTCATGATGTCCACCTTAATTTTCCAGTTGCGAAAGCTCGCATTGCCCCAAACCGATTTGCGGGATTTACGGGGTTTTTTTCGGCGATCGCCACCGAGCTAAAGACTGAAATGTCAACTAACGGTTGCGAAAAAAGCTCACCTGTTACTTTGAGTGCGCAGTGATAGGAACGCTCGGGTCAACGTGAACACCAACTGTACGTTTCCGCTCAACCTCCCGCGACTCCCTCTTAACCAATCAGAACGCTGGATTCCATCTACTCATTAATAGTGCTCACCTGAGAGAGAAAAGTTACGGTTTCCAGCTGAAATCAAAAATCCGTTGTTGGCTTGTAAATTCCACCTGTTTCCACTTTGTCCAGTTGAAGTCCGTTCAGAAGAAGCTCAAAGGGCGAAGACAGAATACAGAGAGAGAGAGAGAGAGAGAGAGAGAGAGAGAGAGCGGAACTTGCACCTCCGTCGGTGCATGTGACAGTCCAGCTCCTCCGCCTCCTCCTCCTCCTCTGCCTCCCTCTCCTTCAGTCTCTCTCGCGGTCACATCTCTTTCATTTTCCCGTCTGCTTCCGGCTTTTGTTTTTTTTGTTAGGGGGGGGGGGGGGTCCACATCTCTTCATCTTCTCACCGTCGCTTCTCCGTTTTGTTGTAATTTCTTGTTATTGTTTCTCACGTGATGCCCGCTGCTTCGCAGAGAAGCCCGCGGATGCCGAGTTAGGAGATAAAAACAGAAGGCAAATGCTCTGTCGGGGAATAACAGAAACAACTACGCACGCTTGCGTCCCTCGTTGAGCGCTGAACGGAGCCGCACCATGGATCTGTCGTTCATGGCCGCGCAGGTGAGTTGTCTTTCCTCCCAGTTGGCCAAGCGGTGTTTTGGCTCGTCCGAACTTTTGATACCATTTGGTCATTTATTGAATGGGCGCGGCCGGTCAACAGGTTCATGTGGCGAAATCCGGAATTTGGGTTTTCAATACGTCAGAATTAAACCAGAGGTAATGACATGAATGTAGTTCAGCTTCATGGTCAATTACATATTGATAATGGCACTTCCTGGTATATTATACATCCGCAAATGGTAGTGGTCTTTTTTTTTAAACAGTTGATTTGATTTCATATTTAATTTAATTTTTGCTTGTTGTTGTTACAATTTGATATGGTCATGGATATCTTGTACTTTATTGGGATTTTGTGTCAGAATCCAATATGGGACGGTGAGTGACAAAAAAAGAATCATTAAAACTTGTATATATTTATACTAGTTACACTATTTTCAGTGGAAAAATAACGTATGGCGTGATTTAATTACTTAAGCAGATTTGTATGTCCATGCCTTCGGCTTCTTAGATATAGCATGTGTATGTATGTGTTATTTGGCATCTTTTATGGACATGCGGTTTATTTCCATTAAAGCTTCTACGGGGCTATAATTGCCTCCACTCCTCAACTGTCTGGTTATGGTTTGTCTGGTGCCATCTACTTTGCCGTTTGGGTATTGCTATTGAAAGGGTTCACTGCGCTGCCAAAAGCTGTTCTTAGGGCCACGTATTCTCAGATGTTTTTAGATTCCCTTCCAATAATACATCCTGAGCAGTAACAGAGAAGAGCATGAGACCTAAAGCTACAATGATTGATTATTAAAAGTTGTAATAACATGTCTTCCAGGACTTTTTGTGCTGGTGTGTTCCTTGAAACCTGTTTGGGCTGTAGTGCACAGGTTTACTTACAGAAGCCCAGTTTTTATGTAGGCCGTCAGCCGGAGCCAGAATGAGCCAGATTCTCAGCAGCTGGCTACACACACTCTTGGTAATCGAGGAAGACAAGGAGCCGATCTTTGATGTTTCCATTAAAGAAATTCTGCAGAAGAAAAAACAGTACTGTCCATCACATCTAATGATAGACATCACAAATACAAAAATAGATCAAATGGATTTGTTCAGAAAGGTGAAGGTAAATTACCACTGGTGAATGTGTGAAGGTTGACACAACATTCATTAATTTACATTGATTCATTATTTAGTCTATAAAATTAAATTGCGAAAGTGCTTAGAGCAGATGTTGACACAACACAATGTTCCCACTAATGCCCTACTTGGCTTAATAACTCAACAACCATCAAAATGTCAAAATATCCTTGTTGTGTATGCAATCATATGTCATACAGTCATAGACTGCCTGGTTACTTTGATGACAAAACAATGTACGGCTAACAGGTTCACATATACAGTGGGATATTTCTGTGATTTCAATTTCTGTTTATGCAGATTATACTTGGCTAAAAACAATTATTGAGTTGGAGAAGAATCAGTGTTCATCGACTCATTTGTACCAAAATTGGAGCGCGTTTGTTCCTTGAGACTTGGCAGCAGCCGATGTCACCAACGTCTTTACTGTGGATTGGCCGTTTTGCTGGAAGGTGACAACCATTTAACAAGAAGTCATTACTTCAAGGAGTTTTTTTCCAGTGCCCCATGATCCCGTCCCATCTTACTTTTTTCTCAAATTTCTGCTCCTATAGTTATTTTTTCCAGGACTCCATATCCTCCTCTTCAAGAATGCAATAAGAAGGCTAATGGCTACTTTTGTTGAGGTGAAATTCAATCCCTGACTCACTCTGTGCTGGTGACGGTGAATGAAGTCAGGCCAATGTCCCTGGAGTTTAGCATATTGACTTCACAATTAATGATCTTTTGACAATTCATCTGAGAGTAGCTCTGCCGCCTGCAAACCACTGGACCTTCCCCATCACTTCGACTATAGTTATCTCTTTAAGACGGGTCCAGTTTTTTAAAGAGGTCTAATGCATATTTCAAGACATGCACATGCATCATATGTTGACCACCATTGGACATCGTTTGCTAGATTTTTCACTGTTGTTTTTGTGAAAATTGCTCACCAGCTCTGTGCAGAACCATGTGTAAGCTTTTGTGTTTGGTGAATGATTCGCATTTGGCAGCAATTACTCACTGGTCTGAAATGAAAAATGGCATAGTACATTATGCTGAAAGTGGTGGCCTCCTCAAGCATCGCAAAACATGGATTAGGTGACAATGACAGTGAAGCTTTTAAATCTGAAGGGGGAAATGAGGCCATTTGTCTTGTATATTTTCAAAAAGACAGATTTGAGGAATATACAAATGATTTCGCCGAGCTCCGTTGAAATGGATATTAAGAATGATTTTGAACTCACTTCAATATTTTGAGACAGCATAATGTGATTGTTGATCACACAGTTTACGTCCTTGCACCTTGAGCAGGTTGGTCACTGTTAATCAATCAATCAATCCAGTACACAGTGACCCACTGGCCGTTTACTCAGTTTTACATGGACACAAAAGCATGAACCCGGCGATTGTTTACATTTCTTTTTTTATTATTGCGACATTTGATGCCCATGGTCAAGAGAAAAAAACAAAAAGGAATTAACTTTTGAATAGAATGCTATACATATGTTTCCCTTATATAGTCTTCAGATGCTTTGTCTTTTCATGACAAGCAATCAGCACTTCTCATTACTCAATTACTTATTCAGTGAAGCTGTGGCTCTGGGTCATTTTACCTGATTGCGTTGTCAAACTCTGTCGTCTAAGAAAAGACAGATGAAAGGAAAAAAGATGATGTTGGAGGACGTGGTTTATAGACTCAACCCAAACACAGCCATCTGTATTTACCCACAGGACCAGGACAAGGAACTGACGGCAGAGGCAAATAGGCTTCACTTTGGTGCCATGATAACAATACAATACGTGCTGGAAAGTCAATTTAATCAAAGTACGTTGTTCTAAAGTTAGTAGATGTGTTTCCCTGGATTTTCCGGATGCAGACTGCTCCACACTCCTGCAGGTTCCAAATGCAATATACAACCAGAATATATTTGTCGTATCCAATTTCATTTCATAAAACAATTGGACCAAAACCTAAAGGGTCCAAATCTGTCAAATAAATGACATCCGATCGTAGAAAGACTGGCTGATAATGTGCAAAGAATACTTGTTTGTGCACCACTGCTCCCCAGATAGGACGCCATATATGGAAATGCAGGTTGAATAGTTCACAGATGAGATTATTTTCCTATTAAAGCAACCGCCACAAGGCCTATATCATGCACATCTTTGGGCTCAATTGCATAAAATATTCAATTACGTAATCATTTTATCTCGCTGTGCATTCTTCACAACCGAGGTCTCCCGTTCAAAGAATACACATCCTGTTTGCTAAGAGGAGGCCTATTACAATGGCAGAGCTTCCTTTTCATCTCTAGGAGTTTTTCCCTCTGGTGTTGGTTTTGCAATTCAGCAAATTGGTTGTACTGACACCTTATTGTTTTTTGACCCTGCAGTGCTGTAAACAGGTTCACACAGCAACAGTTACTTGCTGTATGCACCAGACTAATCAATTCTTTGACTACACGGAAGGAGTCTTTGAATCGTCTCCTCTCTATTTTTAGAGGCTTCCACAGGAATAGCAGTGTGACAATTTGATACATCTTTATTATAGTGTTGTTCATACATTTCATTGATTAACTTTTACATGTGATCACTTCATGTATAGTCAGACAGCTTTTCGCAGAAGGGAATATTTGAAGGTTTAGCCGCACGTGATGGATTTAGTGCATCTACAGAGAGAACATAATATTCACTGGAGCCAGCAATGCACTACTTTGGTTGGAGGGTTGCCTTGAATGACTAATCATCCTCCCTATGATCAAAACAATAACTCACCAAAAAATGTTACTGATGGTGGACAAAGTCAGGTGGAATAAACATGATGACATTTCAAGGCTCTCATTAGAAACAATGGACAACCGTCTCTATTTTAGGCTCTGATGAATGTTGAAGCAGGTGCCAAACCGCCTTGTAAACAAATTGATCATTTACTAAACCCATGCCCGAGCAGACGTCCGATCTTAACATAGCAACAGTAACTAAGCACGGCCGGCACGTCAAGTTCTGAAGGATTAGGCCGACGTGACAAGAGTAGTAAAAGTGTTTAAAAGGTCTGACTTATTTTATGATTTATTTATTTGTGTCTCTTTATTGGCTTCTGAGTAGTTGATGGATTAATTATCCAAGATGACGTCATATTTAAGTAGGCAGTGGCATGTGCCACTTAGATATGGATGTTAATGATTTAACTCCAACAAGATTCTTGTCAGGAAGGCTGCCTGCTCTCATATAAAATGACCATTTCCTGATCATTAGAGAAAAACGATCTCAACTACAGATTCATTGGAGATGTCAATTTACATTTGCCTTTAAAGGTAAACTTTATGTTCAATCATTTTCAAATGCATCTCATAAAAATCTTAAATTATTTTGAGGCGCACTGAGGGGCAACTGCAATTATCTTCATTGTGACGTGCAAGAACAGAGATCCTGACACAATTAAGGGCGAGGCTTACCGATATGCAGTGACTAGGTGGATTGGGGGGCCACTTAAAAGAATACAGAGATGAAATAATGTGACCAAGCTGCCACTAAGTCATTTCCCAGTGTCTTCGTGCTATCTTAGCTCACAAAATATTCTTATTGCGGGCAAACATCTCCCAGGTGGTTTGCACCTAAAATGAGTGATTGCATATTGAAAGAAGTCCTGGGGAGAATAAAAGGGAGACTTAACAGACCGTGACAGTGACAGTATGAAGTAATAACATCTACCCTGAAAGACCAAACCCCCCCTAACTGCATGATGGTTTCTATGTAACTGTGCCTCAGATACTCAGCAGGTATGAATTATGTATCCTCATATAAATCATCTATTTTTAACTCATCCTGAGAGATCAAGCTTTATCCCTGTGTTTTGATATAATTTTATTGATATAATTTTATTGATATGTTTA